GGAGAGGCGGTGCCGCCTTCGGTCGGGGCCGGGGCGGGGGAAGCGGTACCGGTACCGGTACCGGTTACCGCTGCGGGGAGAAGGGCCGGGCCGGGACACGTAGCAGAAGGTGGGCAAGGACACGGGGCTCGCAGGCGTGTCTGCTCCAGCAGTAACCCTGCACCGCCCTTGGAGAGCCCAGCCCCTCCCCGATCACATCCAAAACGCAGCTGTAGGGAAGCTGGTTTCACAAGGAGCAGGAGAGGAACTCACCCGTGCTTTCAGGCTGCTCCGGCTGCGAGGCTGGACTCTTCGCTTACGGCATCAGGAGTGGTGACTTCAGCTCCGAGGTCCCGTAGCACGAACGGGGGAGAGGCTGCATCCACCGGGGTCCTGCAAGGCTGCTGGCAGCTCATGGGCAAACTGTACCTCGTGGGGCTACACCACTGGTGGTGGCGTACGGCCCCAGATCCCACTCGGTTATCAGGCGCCTCGGAGGTAGTAACGTGTTTTCGAGGGCTCTTCAGGTCATTAGTAGAGCTGTATCGTAGCATTCTCTCTTTTGAAGTACTTGCACATCAAGGAAGTTTCTTTTACAGTTGAAAATAATGTGAGGTGGTAGCCTAGGTGTTACAACTGTATGAATTGTTCAACACATACTTCGTTATTTAAGCAAAAGCAAAACCAAACCATTTGTATTGTTGTACTCTTGTGTTTGGTCAGTGCCAGATAGGTAGACCTGACCGACTAGGTAAGAGCCAATCCTAGCATAGGCAATAGTTAGGATTAAAAGAGGAAATGCTATCATCAGATTACAATGGTCATTCCTCCGTTCCTGTTTGTTTGATTGGAATTACTTAGAAGAAAAATAGGAGGATAAAGAACCAAAAAGGATGTTCTGGGATAGGTTGAGTTCTCTGCCACTGCGGGTGTTGTATACTGTAACTGATAAGTTCATAAACTTACCAAGCTTCATTCTAAAAGATGGCAGATTTTTCTTCTTCACAGTCTTTTGTTCTAAACTGACAACATCTGTTAAGAAGACTCTAGACAATGGAGCAGACCCTTTTAAAACTACACACTTGGCAGACTTTGTTGCTGACTGGATATAGCCACCAATAATTATCTCTAGTTGCAGTTATTTGATAAACAGAGAAGCAATTTAAATTTTGTGTAATATGGAAAATCCAAAACCAAATTGCTATGCACTTAGAGTTAGATTGAACTTAAGAAGTCAAACTCAGTTGTTGCACAGAAGTCAGGTTTTAAGTAACAAAAGACAGTTAGGAGGAAAAGTTAATAATGGCTGTTAATCTTTATTTGAACTCTTGTCTGGTTAAGATATTTCGTAGCTATTTATAATAACAACCTGAACATTTACAGTTTGGAAAGTTTATTCTTGGCTACAAATGCAGAGTTCATTATACATATTCACACAATTGTAAAAGCAATCTGTACAGAGAGACCATTTTTTAAAATCTAGTCTTTGCTTTTATTACCGAAAGCACGAGAAAAAATATTTTTGGAGGTCTCAAGCTAACGTACTGTCCATTACAGCTTTAAACTAGAAATACATGATGCAGTACTAATTAATACCATTTTAACACATTAAAACAACGGTTAAGAAATACTGTTATTAATGCCTTCATTTTTAAAGTAACTGTTCCCCAAAGAACTGAGTAAATAGAATACTTTTCATGGCACATACACGATTAAAGATCACAAAGAGTTTGCAAATAGAGATGTTAAGTACGTTTTCTGTATTTTTAATATCTATATATATATTTCTTTTTAAAGGTGATACATTTTACAGAGATTTAGTCAGTGTTGTATACAATACCATGTAAATAAATTCAAAACAAAACTAATTTTTGCAAGGTGTCCAAACTGCACACACATGCGAATAGCCCTTTCTCCTCTGAACAGCCTTACTGGAGTGATGCAACCACTCCCATAAATAAGGGACACTTGCATAACATGGTAGAGGATTAAGCCCTATCAGCACAATTTCAAAACAAATATGGACAGATAAAGCACACATTGCATGTATTTTTCTAAACTGTATACAAATAAGTGAGATTTTCATTTAGATTTTAAATACCAGCAGGTACAGTTATTTTCTCAAATTACGGTGTTTCAGAAATGCTAGCGTACATGCCAGTTTAAAAATATTTCTGTCCAAAGTAATTTAATGCAACAGAGCAGGTGGCTTTCAGTTTTGACAGTTTTGTGCTGAACATTCATCACATTGAATATTTTTTATTAATTTTTAAGATGCCAGAAAAAAGAACCTCAAATAATAGCGCAAAAAGTTGCAACATTTTGAAATTTTCTATAAAACTGCACTCCGTCTGTGAAACTAACCGGCAAACACAACAGGACTCCAACTCTCATTCTAGCTGATAGCAATATACTACCTCTTCTGCTTAATTTGGAAATTCAGTGAGTAACATGGGTGCTTTTGCTTGGCAAAACCAGGTCCTAATTTTTTAATGTAATTGCAGAAATGCAAGTTTGATATGCACCCACCTATACGTAACAACATCATGTAAAATGCACTTTTTAAAGTTAAGCATACAATACAATGTTTAACAGCATATAAAAAAGCAGCAAGTGGTATTAGTGTCACTTACAGATACTTGGGACATCTCCATTTTAAGGTTCTGTTCATTAATATCTACATTATATAAGAAACCACAAACACACACAAGCGAGCTGACTGTTCCATGAAACTGCGCAACTATGAGGCAACTTCTACCAGAACTTAGCGAACAGGGGTTGATTGTTGTCCTAAGACATAGGAAAACCGCAAATGTTAATAATGTATTTCTTATTCCACTCTGTTGTCAATAATGCCACTTCTTATGCATTGAAAACTCGTGTTTCCCAGCTTTCCTGTGGTTTTCCCCCAGGCTCCCTACAGTAGTATAGAGTCATACAATCTATTAAGTCCTTCTTCCATTCATTTCTAAGTGACAGGTTTTCGGCACTTAACTTTAGCTGCAGATTACGCAATAGTTAGACATCCCCTTTGTTGTGCCATCTGATGGTACACAAGCATATGGAAAAGTTGCAGTAGTTCACCTGGGGATGTGAAAATACTAGAAATAATTTTTAGCTTACAAATGTAAATGATAATCGACCAAGGGAAAACAAAGTTTAGGAAATGGATTTTTTACTCACTGGTTTGCTTCAGTCTGCAATAGATTCCCCAGTGTGGAGCTGTGAAGTATTTCAAACTGTACTAATTACGGTCAGGTTCAACTGCAGTGCCAGGGACACAATTAAAAGGCAGGTGACTCCAGTAAATGACAGTGAGACTGGACTAACTAGAGTGACCAGGTGTTTTCTTCCCCTCCTCCCCACCCCCTTCTTTTTCCTTTTTTTTTTTTTTAAAAAAAAATCATTATTGCAAAAGGGTCCCAGAGATATTCTTACACAAATGCTGTCCTGTAAGGTTGCTAATGTCAGTATATGCCACTGTGATTGCTTTGGCAAGCTAAAGTGTCTTAGGCCTCTGGAAATCTATCCAAATACTTCACCTCCCATGTGAAAATCTTCCTGGTTAAACAACTGGAAGGCTGGAGGTGCTACTAAGCATGTCAGCAGATATTTAACAGGTGGAACTTAGGAACTTAAAATGAAATAAGGCAGAAGACACTCCTAGCTATGCTAGTGCAAGTTGGAACAAAACTCACTGATCTGAATTCAGCCAGATACCTGCAGTATTTGTCCAGGATAAGTGGTTTGGGGGCGTTTAAATTTTTACATTTTTATTATTTGTTGTTACCAATATTTTTGTGTATCTTAAACATAAATCTGTTGTCTGTAAAGAAAATAATTCAAAACTTCCATTCTCTAAAATTTAAAAATGGAAACTTGACGGGTAACCTACTACAAATAGATTTTATTTGTATAACGCTTTAAATTATCTGGGCAACAATGGGACTAAAAAAAAAAGACAAAAGACCCCAGAATATGATGGTATTTCCCAAGAAAAAAGTACCAGATTTGGAAAAAAGATTAAAGTTTCTATCTGTGCGCTCCTGTTTTACAAATATCTATTCAAACCATATAGTCAACGCAAAAGGTGCGCCCATCCCTATGTCTGCTGTCAATTAAGGGACAGTGTCACAACATAAAATTTGTCCTAGCATAAAATTGGTTCCTCTCTATTAAAAAAAGATCTCCTCTAGAGGGCAGCATTAAATCAGTATTCAATGACCAGGAAACCTAAGCTGTAATGCTCCTTTATAATACACACTAAATTTACAGGCTAATAAGGCACAGTTATATTGACCAAGGATGGTTATTTACCATTACGATAAAGCTGGAAATTTCTGGCATCTTAATATTTTAATTAAGCTATGCATTACAAATGGATGAGTTTTTTCATTCTGGCCCAAGAGTCCACTGTATTTGGCTGACTGCAAAACCATGTACTACATATAAAAAAAAAAAAAAATCACAGCTGAGCTGTGGGCTGGTGAGATAGTAAATACTGCAGACTGAAATCTTTGCTGGTGTAATCTAGTTCAGCACTATTACAGCCAACACAGTTGTGCTCAGTTACAGCAGCCGAAATGGGACACTGAGCTTGCGTCTAGGGGGAAGAGGAGAAAGCAGCCCAACTAGAACACAGGCTTTCTGGCACTAAAGCCTTGGTCATCACAAGCATGCTTCCTGGGTAGTGGGTTACTATAACAATCTTAAAGCCACAGGTAATGTACTTTTCATCATTGCATAGGATGTCTTGAACTGCTGAAACCTCACACATGTTTTGCTGGTTTGCTTAAGGATTTCAAATGCTGAATTTATGAAATTACGGAAGACAAAAGCTCACCTAAATATTTTCATCTATTGGTTTCCTAAAAAGAAAACACATCAGAAAGTCTTTTATCGTTAGAAGAAACATTCTTATTTTTAAATACACAGGAGAAAAATCCATATGGAAATAAATTCATCACCATTATATATACAGCAAGTGTTAGAAGCAGTGTTTACAAGAAAGGCGACTCCCTCCATGACAATAAAACTAAGCATGTGGCAGTGTCTTGATTTAAAAACAAAACCAACCAACAAACCAAAATCTAAAATCCCAGTGCATTAAGGCTTGGAAACAGTTTCAGTTTGGAGTCAGAGCGGGTTTTCTCTGCCACTGGTTTCATAACCCAGAGAAATTATTCCTGAACTCACTGGCCAAGCCCACAATTCAGCTGCAAAACTAATTAATCTCACCTGCCCCCATCAGCACAGGGCAAATCATCAGGTTCATACTGTAGCGAGGGACCTCTCGAGCCGCCAGCAGGCTTTCAGCACTGAACTGCGGTTACAGACATGGGGGTTATTTGGCCATGTTCCCTCCTCCCCCAAAAATCCATTCCCACCAGAAGCTTTAGGGAGCACTCCCCGTGGTTACAGTTGGGTGCAGCATCCCCACTCATGGAGCACCAGGGGCCAGGACCGGTGCAACCGCCACAGCGAGCAGCAGCTCTGGTGTCGGTCACGTAACGCGTTTGCCATTTCGTGGGGCAAGGTAGCCCTGCCTGCAGAGCTTTGTGGCTGAAAAACTTCGGAGGGGTTTCAAGTGAGTTCTTGTGCCCTTAGGACTCAGTTCGGGAACTTTGCTCCCAGAATTGATTAGGCTACAGTATGTTAGAGAGAGGATGTTGGTAGTAACTGGAAAGATAGTCATTAGCTACAATTTTAAATAGAACAAGCCTTAAAGAAAGCTACTTGTCCTCTGCTCCTGGGCAGCAGGCAGCTGTGGTTATCTTAACATAATGGAAATCGCCATGCTTTCATGGTCAGTTAAATTAGACTAAGGAATTTTTTTTTGTAAACTAGAAAACAAAGATAAAACATAAGTTTGGCTGGGCTTCAGATTCCCCCAAGATCAGTAACTTGTGTTATCCAGAATGTCTATTGATGCATCCATGAAGCTAACGTAATATTTTAGCGATCAAGATAAATCAATTGCTCAGTCTCAGACTGACCTACATTTTATAAGCATTAGCAGCCTCCCTGTCAATCATCTTTATTGCTACTGACATCTAGTGGTAACATTTAGCTGCATTTCTGAATTCCTGTAAAACAATCTTGCATTCTCTCAAACCAGAGGAAAAAAAAAAGAGAGAGAGGTTTCCTGGGGAAAAAATGCACTATGCTTTGTGAGAGGCTGAGATAATTACTGAGTTTTGAGCAAGACTGCCAGTACTACCTAAAAGTAAAATTTATCTTCGTGAGCTATTTGCAAATTCAAAGTATTCAAAAAGACCCACATAAACGTTTTCATATGGAAGGAAAAAATACTCAACCGATCTGGCACGAATTTGCTGAGCAAAGCACATCTTTAACTCTTCCCAATAAGATCATGACTGCTCTGAAACAATTTATCATTTAACAACCTACTCTTCTAAATATGTGTGTGTGGAAAGCACATGGAAGTCTAAACAGATTTCCTCTTAGACTCTGAGCAATCGATAAAAAAATCAGCAGTTCCTCTAATACAGTCTGTCGATCCACGTGATGCGATCGACAAGGAACACTGAGTTTAGAATATAAAGGCCAAATGCACCGATCTCAGCTGAGGGTCGGGAAGGACTTCAAGGGCAGATCCCAGCCGCAGCCCCCCGCAGCAGCCTTCCCGCGGATCTGTGCCTCGCTCTGTTCCCCAGCTCTGCTTTCCGCAGGTCTCAGCTGAGCTTTGGCAACAGAAGGAGTTGGTAGAGTAGACGTCCAAGGATCTGCTGGTGGTACATCTACCGGTTAGTTCCTCGTAGCTGAAGTGGCAGTAGGCGCTGTATGCGGCAGGATCCGTACCTGCTGGCATTTCTAATGGGAATGACAGCGGCAGAAGTCCAGAGAAGCTACTGCACGCAGGCTGCGGATCTGGACACGTGCAGTAACGCAGACGTCCTGAACGTGCCAGACTTGCTGCAGGTGCATAGCTGGATCTCCTTTGTACGTGCTGGACTCGCCGTATTTGGGGTGCAGAATAAACCACTGCAGAGAGGGCATTTACCTGGGAATTTTCAAAGATGATCACTAAAAGGTCTGGCAGCTGAGGTGGTAGCGCTGATGGGTATGGATACCAGCCGCAGTCCTGTGCTTGGAAGATAATTCTAGCCTTCCTCTTTGACTGGCATGGAAGCGCCGGGAGTGGTCAGGCTGTGCCTCGGGGACGGGGAAGAAAAATCCCAGTTTAGAGGTTTAGTCGATTCAAAATGGGCTCTCTTCCTCCGTTACGAACAAATGTCTTGGGTTCTGTGGCAGCAGAGGCTCTGTGTTGGGAGGGGGACGGCTGCCATGCAGAGCGATTAGAGCAATAGGTAAAGCACTATTCTGGTATTCTGTATCAATGTTTTGCAGGCCTGGCAGTGGTCACAGTTGATGCCTACAAGCACTGGATATTCCACAAGTTGAAGACGGAATACTGACTTGTTTACCTGAAGATAATAGGACTTCGGGGTATTTCCTCAGAGAAAATATAAATTTTAATATAATTTCATAAGCTTTGGAGGTTAGCTTGTCTTGTAGCTTCAGTGATATCAAACTTCTTCAAGTAGGAGCTAGATAGAAAGCTGTTTAGTTTTTGCCAGCGTATGTAAAACAAGACTTTTCTATCTGCATTGTAGATTGTTTGTGGACACTTCCAGATTCTTGTGCTTTCTGCAGTCATTCTGGGGACTGAACTCTCATTGATATCGGTAGAGGTTCCATGAACAGGACACGTGCAGGAATTTGAGTGTAGAAGCCCACAGCGTGGTTTGGAGTAGTGAATTGCTTTTAGTTTGGAGATGACTGGGGGAGATGGGAAGAGCAACTGTACATTAAGGGAACAAATACAGATCTTCCCGGTGACATCAATGAGAGATTTGCCTTCAACCTTCCACAGAAGAAGATTTTTAGCTTTAATTTGGGACAGTAAAGGGGTTTTTCAAAAGCACTAAAAGCCAGTGGGAGCTTGTTCAGCTGCTCCTTATGCCTTTAAAAACCCCTACACCAAAAGTAATAGCTAACAACATGAAATGGAAGTAAATAAAATGCATTTTCATTGCTGTTTTGAGTTAAATAATTCTTGTTTCTTGATTTGTTAGTTGATCTGAATTTACATGGATTTAATCTATATGGTGACCAAGAAAATGGTCAGTTACTGGTAAAGAAGCAAAGTATAGCCACAAAGCAAACAATGTGTAGGTGTAGACCCTAAGCAGCTAACAAAGGTAACAAAAGTTCACTGCCTACAGCCATAAGTCTTTTGTGTCCACGTCTAGCAAGCTAGATGGCTGTTGCAGCATTTGCCAGCAGATAACAAATGCTCCCAGCTGACTAAAAGGTCAGCTCAAGGACACCTAGGACCCAGTCACAGATAAGAACGCACAGACATCAGTCAGTCATCACCCTGCCTGCGTGGAGCACTGAGCATGTTCCTACTGTTCTTCAGAATATCGGAGCAAGAGCTACCTTCGTGCTAGGTCAGCCTGTACAGGGCAGATTGCCCCTGGGTGGTCGCATCCCTCTCTCAAGTCCTCTCTGGCAGTAGCTACCATAAGACTTGCGGTGGAACAAGGATCTAATAGAGGGTTTGGATCTACTCAGTGCGCAAAAAATAACTCCCTTCTGTATTCTCTAAGATCAAGGCCACAAAGGGCCCTGATATCATCTGGTTTGATATCGTGGTCAGGCTCTTAATTTCACCTAAGACTCTTACAAAGAGCCTAGCAACTTGCATTGGGCTAAAGTATTTCCTCCAGAAATGATCTGTTGAATCAAAAAGGCATTAAAGTGATGGAGATTACATCACTGGTCTGGTTAGGATTAACCAGTATCACCTTTAAAAATCCATGGCTTGTTTTATTTGATTTTGCATAGCTTCAGCTTCTACCCATTGGACGGATATTTGTACATCTTTCTCTGTTCAGTTTAAGAACTTGTTAATATAAAGTATCTCCTCCCTGTAAAGGAATCCAATTGCCTCTTGATCTTCATTGTAAGCTGAACAGACTTGGCTGTAAGCCATTTTCTTCCTCCCTGAAATAATTTTTTTATGGCTCTTTACTGCAAAGTCTCTGTTTTTTCCAACATCTTTAAAAATGTGAACAGCATAATAGGTGGCAATTTTTAAACTGATCTCGTTTAATGCCATATGAAGATACCAAAATCATAATCCTCCTTTTATTCATTACCCTGCTCTGCATGGGATGTGCCTGAGATGAGATAATTTAAAGAAAGAGCGAAAAAGGGGAGAGAAGGAAGAGACAAGAGGGGTGTGCAGAGTTACAGAGTTTACAATTAAAACCACGTAAACCAAGAAAAATCAAATGCAAATGAACCCCACAAACCAAGACAATTAAATACTCCAAACTCCCAAGTTTTGGGAAGCCCAACAGCAACATTATGTGCTCTGTTGTTTCAGAAAATACTTCAGCAGAGCCCTCCCTGTCCTGCAACTCTCTACACTGAAAGTATTACTCGGTTTTTGTGTTTTGAAATTCTGCAGTGGAGGTTTCTTGGGGAATTTGGATTCCACAGTAATAAAGCGCTTGCACATCTTCAGCCACAGACCCCAGAACAGGACCCAGAGGTGCTTCCTCTTGAGAAAAAAAAGCTTTTCTTGATAGTAGTGGAAATAACCACAGGTAGTCAAGGTTGTTCTGTTTAGCCAAAGAATTGCTATTTCCATCATATCAACAGCAGGTAGCAATGAATGGAGCTTGGCTTTGTTTCCTCTGCAAGTGGCAAGTCCTTCTCTTGTTTGACCAGATGGTATACAGCAGCTTCTTTCATTTCTAGGGCTGCATCCTTTTTTTCTTCTTTGTTTTCAGCCAGTTTTTTTCACCCTTTTAATGTGCATGTGCAAGGCAAATACAGAGTTGAGAGCCAAGTTAGGACAGGGATTTCTCCCTCCTTCATGTGATAAGGCACACTAGGCAACACGCTGTCTCAGTACTGTTAGTTCACGCAGCAACATTAACTGTTCATTCCCAGCTACTGTCATTGGTACCTTTATCAAATCCTGATGTTATCATGCGTATCTTACGGGTTTGGGAGCTTTACAGTATTTTCAAAGTCCATAAATGACAGAATCCAGTATAAAAAAAGGTCAATATATTACTGTTGAAAGTTTTTTTTTTTCCTTTTTTTATACAAAAATTAAAAAGATCAAAATATATCACATTATTTACATATTGTGCTTCATGCTTAGAGATCACTGAAAAAGAACACACAGACAAACATTTTAATCAAAGAGAAGTGCTCCATTCATTACACTTACTTATCTTATTGTTAACATTATAAGGATTGGCCTTCAGATTTCTTTTAATGTTAACAGTACATCCAAACGACTTACCACAAATTTAAACACTTTTATATGCTAAGGGCATGCTCACGTTCTAACCGAGGGTTTGCAACTAGTTAGTAACATGCTTGCTACTAACTTGAACTGTGTCCACACACCACATGTGTGAAGCTGGGTTAGTAATTCCACTCAGCTTCAGTGTCATACCCTTGTCGGAGAATGAGGTTACAGCATCCTCCTACAAGTCTGGATCAAATCCTCATCTTACGGGGGAACACGTCTCTCCTCATTCTCCCGGGCTGCCTTTAGCACCTAGCCTGGCCATTCTGGGCACGTGAGACTGTAGGAATTACCTGACCACCTGCACCCAGATCTACCGATTTGAGCACTGAAGCAGCGCAGTGGTTGTGGATTATAATTACAATGGCAGAAAAGTCTTTCTTTGGAAATAAATGTTTTGGAACTCTGTGACAAGAGGTAACCCACTGTAAAAGTCTCAGCTAGAGCGTATGGGCTAAGTCAGTCACACGAGCGCATTTTGCAGGTGGTGCAGTCTTTGCACGAGTGGTTCTTAAACTGCCTAGGGCATAATAAAAGCCTAGCCTGAGCGAGCCTGAAAAAAGGCATTGCTACTGACAATATTAACGAGAGTGATTTTTCATGCTTAGCCAGTTTTTGGAGTGGTGTTCCTAGCACCAGTCTACAGCTGTGGGGAACAAGACATGAAGCTAGGTGGAATCCTGCTCTCCCAAGGCATGACGTTCTGTGTGCCTGTTGCTTAAAGGATGTGCAGCAGTGCAAACAATCATGCAGCAAACAACATTACTCAGGACCTGCTCAAGGATGTACAATTATTATTATTACTGTACCTTATGCCAACATCCTGCTACTGGCAGTCCGTCTGGTCCCTGCAAAATTGAATTTACAGATTTTAATTTCTGTTGACAGTGACTTAAGTGTCAGACCCAAAAACCTGAAGCTCAATCTTCACAACGATGAAAGGTTTAGCAGCACCTTTAATTACCATGCAAGACCCATTTACTGTTATATGCACAAAAATAAATATGCAGGCAATGTAATCCATGTCTCACGCACAACACAAAATTGAATACACCCAAGGGTAAAAAGAAAAATAAAATAAGTCTACACTTTCTTTCTCCTTTGAACAAAAAAGAAAATGTGAACAAATACAAAAATTTGGAACAACAGTTAATTAACGTCATAATCTGCTTTATAAGGTAGTGGGTTTTGCAATCGGACATATATATGGAAAGCATGATGTGGAAATGTATTTTTTTGTTAGTATGCGCTTTTCAGTTTGGGGGCGGTGATGTAATTTTTTTTTTTCCCAGATGATATCATAATTGTGTTAAATTCGATCCTGCAGTACTTAGTTTCTTTAGAAATCTTGATTTGCTGAACTGATTGAAATAGGATGAGTTGTGGACTATGCAAAGGGAGTGAAAATATTTGTCTTTTTCTGATGGAGATACAAGAAACATACAGAAATCAGAAAGCCAGAAGAGCTTACTTAACAGGAGGAAAACACTGAAAAGGAAGGAGCCCCTTAGAAGAGGAATGGACTATATGTGACCAACTCTTTCAAGATACTTTAGAAGAAATAGCTGACTTCAGCTGCCTTTTCTGATGCTGGATTTTTTTTAAGGCTCTTGGATCTCTGATTGCATGAATTTCTGCATGTAGAGCTACAGAGAGCACACATGCACTGATCCTTCCCTCAGAGCCACCTCCACATTAACTAGGGGTGGGAAGCCACGAGGATGTGTACGCAGCAGAGATAACTGCTAGTGCAAATATAGGTCAAAATGCATTTTTACATTTTTTACTGTAAATGTCAGTCATCACATTTTTTGTATTCTGTATTGATTTTTATATGTAAAATAGCCTATGCCCAATAAAACAGATGCAGTGAAGTAAGGTTACCCTCTCCAACTACTCCTAGTGTAACAGGTCAAGTTATTTTCACGTGCTTTCCTATAACATTAGTTAGAAAACATACGCATTTTTCTGCTGACACCAGTCAATATTTTGGTCCATGACTATTCATAAAAAAAGTGCAACTTGTACATTTACCAGAGTTGTCTGGGGGTGAAGGGTAAAGGGGACAAGGCACAGAGCAGTTGTTTGACCTAGAAAGATCCTGACCTGCTGTTAAAGCGCATCCTAACACTGACCATCACGGGGTTGATTTCTGCCCTGGGCTTTTTCTTCTTCCTGTGCACTCAAAACACTTATTTTGGCCATCCTAAAACTGCACACCTTTCTACCGTGTTTCACTCGAGTGATTAAAAAATGACTCGTGAACTTAAAAAGAGCTTTGCAACCTGCGTGTAAGGCTCACGCTCCTGGACTGAAAGCCATCGCCGAGAACCCAACAAGCCTCCGCCGCACGGTGGGGTGGAGAACGAAGACAACAATCCCAGCCAATGTGTAACTAACCCTCACATACGTAAGCGGGAAGATGTGCAAGTGCTTTACTAACTAGTTGTGTAGTAGTTAGGTATTGGAGAAATTGCCTATTGCAATTTACATTGCCTTCAATACAGACAGGTCTTGTGTTTTCTATATAGTTAAGATGGGAGATAGTTGGTAAATATAACATCTCCGGAGAGTAAATATGTAGAGTTGAAGCGGGCCTGCTGCTAGTAATTGGTTTCCTTGACACATATGAAAGTATTTAACTTTTTGAAAGAGAGACAGCTTACTGCCCTTTTGTTTCTCCGAAGACAACTGCAAATCATCGAACATGCAGCATTTTCTATGGTTAAAAAAAAAAAGAAAATAAAACAATGACCTCTTTTAGCTAGTCGTGCAGAGCCCTTTCAGGGAGCAGAGCACAAACCTTCCTGCACAACCGTTGGACTTCGACCTGAGCTCTGCAGGGCAGAGCTATGTGCTGACACAGCAAAAGCCGTTCTAATGCCCAGAGTGCCAGTGACCCCCGTGCCACAGAACTGGCCGGTCACTTAAGGAAACTTTTCAAAACCCAGCTGGGAATCGGACTCACAGAGCTGCAGCAGCACAGGCACGAGGGGAACCAAACTTGGCCATAGGTGCTGAGAGAAGCCAGAACTAATTTTTAGCGTCTGTTATCATAAAGGGGCAAGCATCCCCTGCGTGATCTCCCATTGCTTACACTCCTCGCCTAAAGTCGTTTTAACTGGGAGGGAGAAGGCGCAACGCATTGGCATCCTTCCCCAAATGCCAAAGTGAAACATCTTGTCCAGCTCTGCTGCCTTGTGTCCTTCTTCTCCCCGGAGGGATTCGCTCCTTGGGACAGGGCTTGGCCACCGCAGAAACACACACAAGCCATGCAAGAAAGAAAGAAAGAAAGAAAGAGAGCAGATACTGTACCAAAGGGCAGGGCACGCTCACCCTGTCCAGGCCTGGGAAACCTGGGTCCCTTTTGCTGCCTGCAATGCTACGATCTCCCTGTTTGAAAAAATAACTGCTTGTTGAGAATGGTAAAGGACACGGGAGTTACTCGAACAGACACGCAATGTTTCGGCAGAGGAGGACAGGTCTAGAACTTTACACCTCCATTTCTGATGACACAGCAAGTCAGCAGAGTGGTTTTATGGTAGGGAATTCACAGACACATAGTCTGTCATCTGGGAAAGATCTTTATACACAAACCAGAGATTCACGTTTGTAACAGCCTGTTGAAAAAGACGAGGGTTAAATCATGCAGCATGTTGAGGGAGGAAAGATGATCATCACAAACGAAAAAATTAATTGTAGTTCACATTCAATCTCCAAGCACAATAAAGCGTATTGACTGAAGGAGCTTTTTGCTGGTATAGCGGAGCCACACAACAGCTTTGATTGCCATAGCTGTGCTGATGGGGCGAGAAAAAGTCACACATTTAGAAAAGAAATGGGTTTGTTGGAGCATGTTGGAGCAGGTACCTGGCACTGTTAGTTAGGTGCAGCCGAACTAGGGGCTAACAGCTACATTTCAGTAGTTTTATTTCAATAGTTGATATGAATCACTCTTTCGTCCTGCAGCCTCAAAGCACTTCAGGGAAGGGATCTCTGGTTTTAGTCTTTATATGAAAAATAATAATGAAAAGGAGGTAAATGTTACCAGACCAAGTAACTGCTTATAAACGAGTGTAGTTTTTTTTTTTTTTCCTGGGCCCTATCAAAGGAATGAGATGTTCTGGAAGTGGACTTGGAAGATCCACCTTCCTCAGGCTCAAACACCCAGGAGTTTTCCTGGAAAGGCTCTTTGTGTACACGCTGCACGGCAGTGGCCCGGGATGTGTCTGAGAAGGGAGAGATCTGAGCTGTGAGCTGCTGTCTCAGGCAGAGAAACGGGGAGGGCTCTTCTCCCAGGGACACTTCTTGGTAGCCTGGAGAGCTCCAGCTCATACATCACTTACCTTTGGCAGTACTAAGATGCTAGCAACTCCCACCCGCTTCTCCACGCAGGGGAGAGCAGGCTGGGCTCATCCCCTGCTCGGTTTGCGGAGATGAAGGGATGGAGCTGACCTTGTTTTCAAACTGATTCCCATCCACTGCACTGAGTTACTCCCTGATTTCAAATGTACTCAAAAGCCAGGCCAGCAGCTTCACCAGGGCACGCTATCTCCTGAAGAGCGTTACTGAAGCCCATTGTTCCTGACTACAATAAGAAGGTCTTTACACAAAGATTCTTTATTTTTACTGCTGTGGCTTGCTCCCATCTGGCCAGTGAGGAGCCCTTACAGCGAGCAGTGAACTTCCAGCAGTGCAGATAAAACAAACCATTAGGAAAAGTGAGAAAACAATAACCATCTGCTCTGATTTACTGCAAAATAAAGAACTACCAAATCCTCCCTCTCTTTCCCTGGCTGCAAAGCTGCGTCTCCTTTTCAGTCCTGGCAACGCGTGCTTAGGGTGAGTGAAATAAAAGACGTACCACAGGACAAGGCTGATCCAGTCCGGGAGGGCCTGGTTCCCCCTTCTGCCCTTTGGCTCCTTTTCTCCCTGGTATTCCTCGCTCACCCTGTTGGCACAACAGGAAAATATCAGGAACAGGAGAGGAAACACCTTGGCTTTAAGTCGCACAGCACTTGCAGAGTCCCACACCTCAGCCAGAGTAGGGACGTTTGCACTACTGTAGCCTCAACTGACTAATTAAATCACTGCGAAAATCTTCAGTTAAAGCTGGGTGGAGATATTTTAATAGATAATTTTATAACAGAATGACTAAATGACCAGTTTCTGCTAGAAACCAGGCTGGTATCTGACAGTAAGTGGGAACCCCAGCTTCCAGCCGCTGCCCTGCGCTCAGCTGGGCTCCTGCCTCCGGCTGGGCACCCCTTTATTTAAGGATCCCTATAACAAAACCTTTGACTTGGATCCATTTTCAAGGTCTATAAACCAAAATTAGCAATTTCTTTGCAACTTGGAGCTGTCAGGCTGCTCCATTTCGCTACAATGGTTGTGCTGGGGGGAGATAGGCTTGCAGAAAGCACTTCCAAGTGGGTAGAAATGAACTGCATGTCCTGCCCTACACTGGGACCACGTAGATACTTGGGCCACAGAAAAGGCCTTACAGCAGCGACCTGAGAAACGCTGCCAGGCTGGAGAAGGAACCAGCGCCCCGGGCAAGCACCGCTGCCTGCCAAAAAGAGCGGCCAGTCCTGCCCCCCCAAGCATCTCTACAGCCATAACCCACTCACCTTCTCGCCTCTTTCACTTCTCTCTCCTTTCTCTCCTCTGAGACCTGGGAAACCCTATCACAACAATTTTTAGGTGGGGTTAAATAAAAAAAAAACAAAAAACAAACAGGTTTCCAAGTTTAGTGTGCAAGCATCCTGGCATCTCAGTTCAACATAAGCAATCCCCAGCGATCAAACCATCCTCCCATGGTGATGAATATGACATTTTCTTCCTGTTGACTAGGTATGCCAGCAATTTCTTGGGAAAGCTAGTGCTTTACCATACCCCACTAACATTACAGCTATTAGAGATTTTCATTTCACTGAATCCAATACAAATATTTTCAATTGGAAAGGGAAACCCCTGTGACATCTTTAGCTGAGCAGTTACTGCTGTGCAGTGGAAGTAGTCTGGCAGCTGGCCTGAATTAAGCCCTTTCCTACAGACATCATTCCACAGGCACCATGTTTAAGGCAGAGTAGTCTATACAGTGTTAGCTACACATTTTTCCAACAACCTCAAGCAATTTGATGGCCTTTACACGCGTGTTGTTCATGTTTCTATATATCACAATTTATGTTTTCCATACTCACGTCCAATCCTGGCTCCCCTGGCTTTCCCTGCAGTTGTAAAAATAAAAATTAAGACATGCCGTATTGAGTTTCGCGTTGCAGGCAAACTTATATCCAGTTGGCGAATACTGTAATGACAGCATAGGCTCACCCAACAGCCCCAGGGGTTCGAGGAGAGCTCCTCGCCAAGCATCAGGATAGTGCAGGTAAGCCCAGCTCTGCAGTTCTGGCTGGACCCACCGTGGCAGGATTTTACAGCCCCTATTTTAGGATTACACCACACTTCACTGCTCCTTTCCCACACTGATAATTACCTTCTCTCCTTTGGTACCGGGTAAACCGATGAGCCCTGGAGCACCCGGGAGACCCTTAAAGAAAACAGGAACAAGGCATTGGGATAGTTGGTGTAAGGCAGGTTTCTGCTGATGGCCAGAAATGAGATATGCGAAAATGACTCACAGCGGGTCCAGCATCGCCGTGGTCCCCCTTCTCACCGCTGTCACCTTTTTCTCCCTTTGCCCCGTCCAAGCCCTGCAAAAACGAAATGGCTTCAACCAAGAAGACCTGGCAGCTCTGCCCAGGACAGCCACCCCGTGCATCCACCGCCTCTTGGGATGCTTATACCTGCGCTGCTGTTAACATTTTCCTCTTGGCCGGCTCATGTAAGAAAATAGTTGAAAATACAGGTTTAAGCCTGTGGGTTTGGAAACCCTAACTCGCATGTGCCGCTGGCCCTCAGGACTCCGTGCTGGAGGAGGATTTAAGATTGTAAATGTGTTTGGAAGGAAAAATGGCTTGTTTTCCAAAACGCCAACTGCTGCACAGCACAACCCAGGGATGTGTTGTCAAACTGACAAAAAAATCAGTCCCCAGAGCTGACAGGCCTTTGTGAGCCTGTAAATAATGCACTGGCAGCCTGGAAACAGTGGGTGACATTTAATTTATTGACTTACTTTAGGCCCCTGGATTCCTGGAGGACCCTGTGGGAAAGACAATGGTGCATTTGAAAACCAGATTTTAAAAAACAAACCCCAAAGTTTGCTTCCCAAACCATTTCTTGCTCAAATTATGGGCTGACAATGGCCAAATATTTCTTTTCAAGACAGGTGGCAGTTTATTTGGTTCTCCGACGTCAAGTCGGAGGGAAGGGGAACTGGAAGGGACCGCTTTGCGTAACAGGCAACAATAAAGCTCTGCAACATGAGCTTTGGGGAGCGAGCGCTGCGAGAGCTTTGCTGAAGCAAGTGACAGCAAGCTCCGGAGGGCGGCACGCTGCCACCACGGCCCTCCGAGCTCGGGCAGGGCTGGGGACACCTCCTGGGTTACGAATGCCACCTGGAAAGCTGCCTGGTTTTGAAGTGCGGTCTCTCAAGGTGCATCTTTGGGACACAGCAGAGGCATCCTGACCTTCCTGATGCACTCGGCAGCTCCTCAGCCTTTTGGAGCATCGTAGGTACCCAACACCTTAGACATCTGCATCAAAAACGCTCCGCACGTTCATCACCACCCGCATCCTCTCCCACTGCAGTCGACGGCAAAAAACTATGGCAAATTTATGGGAATACAGGCACCATTGTGGTGGGGAACAGGTTTTCCCATCCCACAAGGTTTTATCTTTTCCCCATCCCAAGGAACAGCTTGGTTATTTGCAAAACATGCCACAAATGCTGATGTACTCTCCTAAATCAGGTGCTTCCATCTCTCCAACAGGAGCACCCAGTGCTGTAGCTCGTCCCTCATTTTTTTCCTGGATTCACAGCAGCCCACAACGATTAAACAGAGCAAGCCACCCTTGTCCTCAACTAATCACATGCGATAACAAATCTGCGGCAATGCTCAAAGAGCCTCTTTCCAGAGTCCTACCATAGGGCCGGGTAATCCGGGGGGTCCAGGCTCAGGTATGATCTGCAGAAGGGAATTAAATGGCGTGTTAATGGGGCTGGGCACAGAGAGAAAACAGTTTGGGAATGGAAACCTCACATGGCCCAGAATCATGATTTAATGGCTTTAATCAAAATATCTGCTAATCAAAGACCTGCTTTAGGACTTATAAACAAATGAGTCTTAATAAGCACATGAATCAAGATAGCCTCTGAAATGAGAAATGTAACCCACACTACTCAGGGTATTTGCCAGTCGCAAAATGGATGTAATGGAAAATGATGCCATTTTGTGTACAGACTGGAGGAAACCAGACTTTTTGATTAAAAAAAAACCAAACAAAAAACCCCCAAAAAACAGAACAAAATTAGAGCTCTCATGTCATTAATAAAAAGCTATCAAAACCCACCACCACTTCTTTTTTTAAGCAAAAGGCATGAATAAGTTAAAAAGGATGCAGAAATCCTATAAAACTGCAAGGAGCCTGATATGTTTTTAGAACAAAATATAATTATAACAGCAGCGTCCAGTATCTCAACCATCAATGCAAAATCTAAAGTAACTTTGTGGTGCCGAGTATGCAAACTGTTCTTCCTTAACAAATAAACCCCATTTAGATGCATCTGAAAGTTTCCGTAGAAAGCAGTTGGGTTTTGTTCCCCTCTGCTACATTGATGAATATGAGACTGGTGGCTCCAGCCTGCACACCCCGATTTCGCCTGACCCCACATTGTGGAAGAGGTTTTATGTTCCCAGGATCTTACATGATTATTCTGCAAACATGGTGACCCGGTGTCTCCTTTTTCTCCTTTGTCTCCTTTTGGCCCTTCTGCTCCCTAAAAGATAACAGTGTAATGCCAATATGGTAAATCTTCCAGGAAAGCAAAACCAAGAGAAAAATACATTTGTCTTCCCGTAAGCTCCAGCCTTGGGTCAAGCAAAGCTCATGTTCATCCCCAGGGGACTTTGAGAAAAGATTTTCTCCTTTTGCTACCAGCTTAGATCACCTTCTGAATAAGCCGTTATTATCATCATTAGCAAAGAAAATTTAAAGCTCCCACATCCTCCCGCTCCGCAGTAACATGGTGCGGACAGGCCATTGCTTAAATCCGGCCATATTCTGAGCATTTGCAGAAATCAATACGTTAAAGAACCAAGCAGCGGACGTACCGGTGGACCCGCTAAGCCCATTTCTCCTGTCTCTCCTTTCTGTCCCGCGATTCCTACGCTGCCCTGGTCACCCTTTGCTCCTTTGGGACCCTGGAAGTTTACAGAAAACAACTTGCTTAGGAGAAAACCATTAAATCCCCCACAACAGCCATTTCTGCCTTTCCGCTGTTTCTCTCCATATCGCAGCACGAGCTCACAAAAACGTGTTTTAACATTAAAACTTACATATGGCAATTTTGCGGGCGCAGCAGAATTTGGCTGGGCTGTAGCAGGGATTGCAGCCAGTTAGGGTTGGGAAGGTTTATGACAAAATTTGAGACAGTGTCTGATGAACCACTCGTAAAAGGAGCCCCTTTAACTCAGCAGACATGACCATGAGCAGCATCTGCGCACTCAGAGCACAGGGCCATAGGCAAAGGGCAATTAATTCAAGGAGATGCAGCTGAACATTACAGGGCAGGAGCTTGCTCCTGGCAGGCTGAGATTTACTTTTCACAGCAACAGCTCTCACAGACACACAAGTAAACTCCTTTTTAACTCAGCTCCTGCGAGGTCTCGCTCCTGCCATGCCCTGCGTACCTTTTCACCGTCCAGTCCAGGTGGACCCGGCAAGCCCAGCTCTCCCTGAAGCGACACAAAGAAAGGGGAGCCCACGGTAAGTTAAATCAGAAAATCATCTCAGGAAAGCATTTTGCAAGGAAATGAGTTATTCACGTGTATCAGCTAGTTGTGGTTATGGGTTTGGCATTGCCAGGGTCAGGAGCAGCAGCAAGGAGGTTTCAGTGATGTGCCAGCATTACCGGCTCAGCTGGATTTGGGCAGTATGGTGACCTCGAGAGGCACCGAAATCCTGCCCCATCCCGAGAGATGCTTTTCTGTAGGTTAAATTCTTCTCTTATAGAAACTACAGCTGACTGTAGGTTACCGGCTATTGCTTGTGAAGCGGGAGGACAGGAGTCCCGCTTGGATGTGGTGCCGGGGCAGTAAGTGGGACAGGGGGCAGGCGGGATGGAGGGCGGCTCGGCACAGCCTTTGGGACTGCCGGCCCTTCTCCACAACTGCTTCTCCCATTTCCTTCTGCCTCCTGCCACATGCAGTGAGGAAGTCTCGGAGGGGCTGGGATTTCACCCATCAGGTGTGGGATTGGGAGCAGATTCGTTTCTGGGACAGCATCCTCCAGAAGAGGCTGGAGACCAGAGAGAGGTCAACAAAACTTCGGCTTTTGTGTGAAAACCTCCTTTTTCAGCCCAAGAAAGTGTTAAATAGCATTTCCTTTACCACACGTAGTCTCAAGCCCCACAGCCAGCATCACTTGCCTTATTTTGGCTTGGGAAACACTTGCTACATAGAGAGCTGCTAACGACCACATCGCTCTCTAGGAAACAAGGTCTGCATGGCAGAGGTTGGGCTCACCTTGGGACCTGGAGCACCCTGGGGGCCCGGTGGCCCTGGGGGACCTGGCGAACCCTGAAACACAGCAAACAAAACGGGTGTGAGCATGACTAATATTAAAGCATGCTGTCCTCATGCTGCTGGGGATGAGCTGGGAGAAGCTCCCAACCATGATCTACAACAGACACTTGAGGGACTGGGGTTGCCCAAACACCACGATGAGCTCAGCTGACACAAAGCCACCCAAGGGCCCCTCTGGCACAGGGGATGCAAAAGAAAACACAGCCAGAGCTAGCCGGGTGTACAGGTGCAGAAGTACGTGTATTAAGAGGCAAAATGCCTTTACTGGAGATGTGGCCCCAGATCTGGTGGTCTCTTTTTGCACGCTTCCAGCTCCAGCCAGCCAGCCTGGGGAGAAGCATCCTGCTGAAAACAGCAACAACCAGCCAGGGAGGTGCAATTAAAGAGGGGAAACGAAGGAGTTTGTGTGAGCGCTAACAGCAGGAAAACTTGCACGCTTAAATAATCTGTTTTTCCTGGGCACTGCTGGGTGTGGAGACCATGATCTGCCTTGAGATGAACAAATATTTTTCAACTTGCAAATTATCTCAAACAGCAAAATGCATGGTCTCGCTCAGCTGAAAAACAAAACGGCATCATATCCTCAAGCACCTTTTTCCATGAGTGCATACTCAGATACTGTTACATTTAATCACACTGGAAGCCACGTAGAGCCAGCCCTTTCCAAAGCACTGTCCATGAGATGGGTCAGCACGCAAACACTGAAAACAGCTCATAAGCAGGAAAATGGCAAAGTTAGGGAGGTTCAATGACGTGCCCCTCGGCAATCTCCGCATGCAGCACAGGGGAGAGGGTCTGGGCCCAGCAGATGAAGCCTCCAGACGTTTGATGGAGCCTCTCCAACCACTGCACTCCACAAACTCCACTCACAAAGCTGCATGCCGCGCAGACATCTGGCAAACGGTAATTACCATCACTTTGTGTATCCCTGCAGCCTGTTATAAAACAATTAGGATGGTGCTCAAATATATCTGTAATTAAGTATTTATTCTATTCGGCTTCTTTCATCTTAACAAAAATGGTAGAGCATTGTTCGGTCAGGCAGATTAGGGCTTGGGCACAGTTTCCCTTCCTCCCGCATCCCGACCGCTGCTTGCAGAGAAAACCGCTCCAGAGGATGCGCGGTGAAAATCGCAGCTCCGCACCATGCCGTGGGAATAACACCCCGCAGCCAGCAGTGTTTAAGCTGTAATTTGGCTGCTCGCACTCATTGCGTCGGGTGTTTATATGTCACGGGCTGTGTCAGGTTGCTTTTACCTGCAGAATATTAACTCGCGTCCCACAGCCGGATCCCACGAGCCTGGTACCCAGCCTGAGTTTACAGCCTCAAGTTTTGCCACTCTTTTGCTGGTACATCCCAAATATCCTCAGCTCCCAGATGCAATAAGCTCTTCCCTCCCAGCCAGCTCTGTGCTGAGACCGAGATCTCAGGAAGGAGATATAGGACAGGGACAGACACAATGCCACAACGTCACCGTGGCAAAGCTTGGCAGTTTTCCAGTCCTTTCCCATTAACCCGCAGGAACTGACATGGCCATGGTGCGACTTACCTTGAGCGCATCCAGGATTCGGCCATCGTAGTCGATCACTACGGTGTCACCCTGTTCCCCTTTCAGGCCGGGGGGACCCTGCAACCGGGGACGAATCCTATTTAGTTTTTGCAGCATGTGAGAAGCAGGTGGTACGAAAGCAAAGACCTGACACCCAGGTGTTTGGGGATTCTCGCCTTACAAACACCATCGATTTAATCAATTCCTAGTCTGACAGCTGTAACCGTCACCCAGCCAAACCTCAGAAGGGCATCAATTTGTGTAACAGAGAAGTGCATAGAAATCCTCACTTCATTATCACTATTCACAGCTTCCCTCTTGCAAAAAAAGGGTCACAGGATGATCACTTTGCTAAGAAAATTGGATTTTGATTGCATTTCCCAGAGCTATCTCCCATGGCAGCATTCAGTACCTACATAATGATTTGTTTAAACATGGACCATCTCTATTTTCTAGCACTGAATGATCCTGAGGCAATTCAACCACATACTAAGCAGAAAGAGGTGGTGGGGAACAGCTCAGGTCAAGGCAAATACACAACTCCAAACTGAAAAAGAAAAAACCCTGAACATCCATACCCGGGGTCCAATGGAGCCAATTCCTCCCTTCTCACCAGGTTCACCCTGAAAATCAAAATCACATTTTTGGTTCAAAGAGACCAAGGAAAATATAGGATATTTATCTTAAAAATACTGTAACTATATGAGATGCCAAGATATAGTTTAGATTAGGAAAAGTATGGCACCAACAAGGAAAGCAAAAAAAAAATAGATTTGACTTCAGAGCAAACATTTTGCAAAAAATAACATTGGTGTGAGCTAGTTGACAGTAAGAAAATGTCTCATCGCAGAGGGAGCAGAGTGGCCTGCTCGGGGCCGAGCTGCCCGTAACGGCGATGTGCCGTGCCGCTCTCCGGCTCCGCTGCCCGTGCTGAGCGTGCCAAGCTCTGGCTCTTTGTGCTGAAGTTTCACATAGCCCTCTCTTTGCTTTAGGCTGAATTTTGCGTGTGGAAAGTTTCAGCTGACACTTTTAAACCATTTTCAAGGACGAGTTTAAGGAAAATGCCTGTGCCAAATTCCCCCCCCCCCCCTTTTTTTTTTTCCCTTTTTTTTTTTTTTAAATTGTGAAGTTTTGGAAAGCTGTAGCACTCTCACAGTGGTGACCTAAAATTCAGTTCAGTATTCAAAAACGTACCTTTCGCCATACCCATGGAAATCCATTTGTTGGCCAAATTAAAGCTCTCCAAAAAGTAAAAAAAATGGTATAAACACATTCTTTCTCCATAAGAAAACTCAATTCAGCAGATCCCAGAGGGAACAAACCAGCACTGCTGCTATGGTCTTAGAAAAAAAATGGCTAAGGGTCACCTGAGCCCACGTTTCTCCATCATATACAGTTTCTTGCCCAACAAGGAGCCACAACTGTTTGATATAGAAAGCATGACTGGATACAGATCATACTAAGTAAGAAGCAGCTGAGGGGGAAAATAACAGCCCACAAACGCTGTCCGGGTCTCATCATCACCACTTAACATATCGAGAGTGTCTTATTGCATTTCTTGGCAGTTAGGAAGGTCCGTAGAATAGGACGGCACTTAAGTGCTCTAGGCTTTGAGGCGATACTGCAGCCATCAATACATCGGATCAAAATGTGATCAGAGGTTTAGCTCTCTTGGGGAAAAGGAGGCAATTCAATGAAAAACATGCAAGGAGACGATTTTAAAAACTCTTACACTGTTCTCCGCTGGAATCCAGCTGTCATCACCACAAAAAGGTAAAATACTTACATCCCCCTGTTTTATCTCAGTTTGGGCATTTTATGAGCCTTTTAGAAGGCAAAGGCCTAAAACACCTACTCAGCTGAAACCCTCTGCCTGAAGAGGGCTGTGCCCAGCTTCCCGGCTAATGGACTTTTATTTACCTTGGGTCCTGGCAAGCCATCTGTGCCGTTCTCTCCCTTGGGACCCACGCTTCCTTTTTCTCCCTAAAAACAAGACAATTTCGATAAATGTTATACGGGTAGGACGGAGAGCAGATTTCTTCAGGTGATAATTTTCTTGCTTTAGCTTTACTTTTACATACATGAATGAGCAAAGCTCTGCTTCTAGCCTGAAATACATCACGTTGCCTAGGTGCACAAGGGGAGTCTTTGAGATAAAAATGAAGCTTTCAGGCTTAACAGTTGGGCTGCGGGTGGTATGTTCAGCCATAAAGTTAGCCCCAAAATCGCAGGACCTGGAGAAGGCTCCCGCGGAGAGCCTGCTGCACCCTGATCTGGGCAGCACAAACCCACGTCCCGAACCCCCGCTCCGGGCCACCCGCAGCAACACTCCCCAATTCACTTCTGCAAGAGGAGCCTCTAAAAAGCAATTCTCTGCCAAAGCCAACAGGTTGCATTTGCAAACTTCTTCTGGGCAGAGCTACCGTGGCAGAGGGGTGGGTTATGCTTCTCTTTCTCTTTTTTTTTGTTCTTTTTCCATGTCAGGGGAGAAATGTGCTTCTCTATCTGCCCCAACTGTGATACTGTGCCAAGAACCCAGATAGCAAAAGGCGCTGCCAAGCACATACGTTGGATGGACACAGAGCAGAACATACCTTAGGGCCCATAAGTCCTGGTTCCCCAGGGATCCCATCATCACCCTGATGAAATAAAATATAAAAGGTGAAATACAACGAGCTCTTACACATGTATCATGAGGATCCAACACGTCATATGACCCCACTGAGTGTCACTGATCCCACCGAGACCCACACAGGTTTGCAGGAGGCCAGGGGAAAGCTGCAGCAAGGAGCCCAGGAGGCTCCAGCATGGTCCCCTGCTCCCGGGGAGGTGGATGGGCATCTCCCAGCATTTACCTACAGCAGACCCTGGGGAAGGTGCTCTCCCACCTTTAACAGAAATTAGGTATTTAATCCATTTGGGCTTTTTGGATCCCAAAGACCTCCTGCAAGCTGCCACTCATCTTCATGGACTTCCATCACAAGCCACCAGCACACCCATCTGCCAGGAGGAGATTCTTGTTTCACTTGTTTTACTCCAGGAGAACAATGAAGCGTGACCACTTCATAGGTGCTGAAGAGGTTAATTTTACTGGCCAGTTATGAAATTTTTTAAGCCAAATTCTGGCCTGAAAAACACCCACGGCCACGCCTGTTTTGGGGCAAAGCAGTAAGAGGGAAACGCTGGGCCCTGTCAGCGCTTCAGCTTCAGTTAAAGGCAGTGATTTATCCACTACTGGATGGCACCACCAGAAGAAAACGTGGAGAGCTTGGACATGTGCATCTCCCGCAGTCTTCAACGCCTGACCCAAGCAGCGTGCCTGTCCTTAAAAGAGTGGGCAATCCCCACGAGACCGAGGTGCTGCCTGGCGATCCCCACCCCAGGAACCTCAAACCCAGCCCAGGGGCCCCTGGACAGATAAAAGCCTCCAGGCGCTTCCCGGTTCAGCCTGAATTATTGGAGGGAAAGGGCTCAAGACCTACTGCTTTGTTTGGCATTTGCTATTTTATTCTTTGTCTGTTGGGCAGATGTGATTGCAGCTTCTGGCTTGCTTGTGGTAATGAAATCCAGGCTGAAGGCACAGCCGTGCCCATGCCTCAGGGTCTCATGTGTGAGAAACCCTGGGGAACAAAAGGAAGGGCTCGGTATGGACAGCCACAGCTTCATCAGTCTCTGGCAATGGTTTCCTTAGTTGAGCACCAAGTAATGCAAAGGAGAAAGAAAAAAATAAAAATAAAAAAAAAATCACCATTTTACCTTTTTGCCTTGGATGCCAGGCTCACCCTTCAACAGCAACACACACAGAGGAGAAAGAAGTTTAGGGACATAACAGAAAATAAGACCAATTGTATAGATAGTCAAAATTAATTGTAAAACTAAAATACTTGGCTTGTGTTGATCATCTTTATCCTCCTCAAATGCAAGAAAGCACATTCCCACAGTACACCAGTGTCCAGCCCCTTGTGGCTCCCTCCACTCCCATTTCAAGGTTTTAACATGGGCAGTGGGTGTGATACTGAGTAGGAGACAACATTCAGACATTTGCAGCTCCAAGTCAATGGCTAACATGATACCTTAGAAATTTTGTATCTGATATATACAGATGAGTGCAAGTCCAGTGCAAAATACCTATGTTCATCTCCACTCCCATTACCCAGCAATATTTCAAGAATTCATATTAAAATTAGACAGATAAGAAATTACTTATTACCCACCTTTGGTCCAGGAGGTCCCCTGGCACCCTGTTGAATGTAAGAGTAGTTGGTATACTTGTTTGACAATAGCATATAACAGCATAAAAACATTTCCAAGAGTACTTAAATTCCCATGAAAAAAAATGACATGATATCAACTTCTCATCTTCCCTTACAAATATAGCCATAAGTTCTCTGTGCTCCCAGTAAATAATAAATATTCTTTTACAGCTGGTGTATTTTATGTATAACGAGCACCTTTTTATCCAACCTAGACCTTAGTGAATTGGAGTTACAATGCCAGGAGGCTTCAGAGGGGCAGCAGTGGGGATACAGGAGCAGTACATCCCTCCAGAGGAGCCAAGGGGACAAACACTGGCCTCTTCTCCCCAGGGCACAGGTACCCCTGGACAAACACCCATTTTAGGGTATCTATAATCTCCTGTGGGGTTTTTTTTGCCTCCGTAAGCAATGACAGAAAACCACTTGCTGCAGCGAGCTGAAGGGTGATGTAAAGCGAGAGGCACGCACACACGGATGCTTCTGGGCAATACTAACCACGAGGCCATCCTCTCCCGGCTCGCCTTTGAAACCCTGCAAAAATAAAAAGGCCCACATTGAAACTATTACCCCTCATTCTCCAAAATGCTCAGCAGTAAGGAGAATGTTCAGCAGCATTACATTTTAGCCTTTTTTTTTTTTTTTTATTAAATAAATTGCTGGTGATCTGGAGATTTGCAACAGGTCATCCGAAGGCTACAGATTGGGGAAGAGATCTCCTCCGGGCTCTCTGAATGACAACCAGCACCTGCAAATACACGCTCCGGGTCCAGCTCTTTGCTCCGAAATTGAAGATGGAAGGTCCCCCTCCTGCTCCCTTGGCCCCATGCCCCAAAGTTTTGCTGTACGAGCAGCCACCGGAGCCCAACTGCTGGCCCAGGCTGGGGACCCAGCGGTTGGGGTGGCAGCACCGGTGAAGGGGACACCCTTCACCCTCCTCTCCCTCGCTGGGGTGGGAACTGCCCGGCCCGTGCTCGCTGTGCATCTCCCGTCCTTACAGGGGGGCCTGAAGGTCCTCTTGGGCCATCTTTTCCCGTGTCACCAGGAGGCCCCCGGGCACCTGGGGGTCCTGGAGGACCAGGGGGACCAGTGGCTCCATCTCGACCTTGATCACCCTGGAAGAAGTTCACACAGACATGGTGAGATGAAGTGGCGCTGGCAAGCAGTGGCCACGAGGTGCCCGCGATGCATGCACCGCATCCCTTGGCCATCAGCACGCTGGCCTCTGCTATCCCAGAGGAATTTAATTACAGCTTCCAACTGGGAAGGCTGGAAGCGAGCTCATGGCCGATTCACGCCCTTTGGGTCTGGTTCCTTAATGAGGATTTTGCCCAATGCCTTCCAACGAGGTTTTATCTCATTAAGCCTTGCCCAGCGACTCTCCGTGGAAACCACCAATTTGACAGTACCCAGAAATAACCCAGTCCCAACAACATGCCGGCCCAGAGCATGCACACACTTCATAGCTTAGTGCACCACACCAAAATAAACACACACACACACAAAAGTAGCGCTTAGTGGAACCCTTTAAATACAGCCAAGGTCATATATAAACATCCAGCGTAGCTCACACCCTGCATCGCTTGGATGCAAAAAAAAAAAAAAGCAGGAGCTGTATCTCCGTGTGATTGTGAAGGTTTGGTAGGTGCCCGCTCCGGAGGTGAGCGCCCCACGGGGCTTCGCCACCCAGTTATCGGCTCCGGACCCCCCGCCGGCCGCCGCAGCCCAGCCCCGGGGCTGTGGCCGGGCACATCCATGTGGCTGCACAATGGAAAGCCTCATGGAAAGGCCATCTCATAAATCTTTTAGCAACATCTGGAAGGGTTACCACCGAGGCAGGATGAGGACTGTATTTAATATGTGGTCCACCCTCAAATCAGGGACAAGTGTGGGATTTTCAGAAGTCCTTAAGTGACTTAGCAGCACAAATCCCACGGCCTTTCAACAAGATCTGTGCTCCTAAATCACTTGCATAGTTTTGAAAAAAAATCCTATTGCAAACGCTGAACACTGCATCCAATTATGTCAAGTCAGGAGTCTCCCACTGAATTTTGCCTAATTAAAACATCACATTTAAGAGTACAAGGATTTAGACAACTCTAGTTTTAATGCATTTTATTTTACAATACCCGCACTGTTCATATGAACATTTATAGGACTTTGCTGCTTGATCCCCACACTTCCCACAAGTGGCCAAATCCTAAAACCCATCACTTTTATGTCTCTGTTGAAAAAACTCCCCCTAAATCCAATGGGGTTTCACTCAAGCGTGCTCCCAACAAGCACTTCTGAATGTAGCCACAGTAGCGACAACTTAAAATAGCAATAGTGCACTATCAGCCAGAAAGAAGAAACAAAAGCAACTCAAAGAATCACAGCAAACCAGCGGCATCAGATCCGATACATCTACCTTGAGCACTCGCCGGCTAAAGACAAGCTGATCATTAGCCAGAAATCCATGATTGAGCCGGGGAAAAACCATCTAACCAGGTGAAGTGGGAGGCAGAGGAGGAAAGAGCAAGAATTTAAGATGAAAGCACAGCAGAACAATATGTTTTAAAGGCTGTAACAATACTTAACAATTTTTCCTTGATAATTAATTAATGCATGAGGACGAACGACTGGTGTTCCTCAGGGTCGGTATTGGGACCGGCGCTGTTTAACATCTTTGTCAGTGACATGGACAGTGGGATCGAGCGCGCCCTTATCAAGTTTGCCGATGACACCAAGCTGTGTGGTGCGGTCGACAGGCTGGAGGGAAGGGATGCCATCCAGAGGGACCTGGACAGGCTGGAGAGGTGAGCCCATGTGAACCTCATGAAGTTCAACAAGGCCAAGTGCAAGGTCCTGCACATGGGTTGGGGCAATCCCAGGCACAAATACAGGCTGGGCGATGAGTGGATTGAGAGCAGCCCTGAGGAGAAGGACTTGGGGGTGTTGGTTGATGAGAAGCTCAACATGACCCACCAATGTGCATTTGCAGCCCAGAAAGCCAACCGTATCCTGGGCTTCATGAAAAGCAGCATGACCAGCAGGTCCAGGGAGGTGATTCTCCCCTTCTACTCGGCTCTCATGAGACCCCACCTGCAGGACTGCGTCCAGCTCTGGGGCCCCAACATCAGCAGGACATGGACCTCTTGGAGTGGGTCCAGAAGAAGGGCACAAAAACGATCAGAGGGCTGGAGCACCTCTCCTATGAAGTCAGGCTGAGAGGGTTGGGGTTGTTCAGCCTGGAGAAGAGAAGTCTCCGAGGAGACCTTAGAGCAGCCTGCCTGTACCTAAAGGGGACCTACAGGAAAGCTGGAGATGGACTTTGTACAAGGGCATGTAGTGATAGGACAAGGGGTAATGGCTTTAAGCTGAAAGAAGGTAGATTTAGATTAGATGTAAGGAAGAAACTTTTCACTGTGGGGGTGGTGAGGCACTGGGACAGGTTGCCCAGAGAGGCTGTGGCTGCCCCATCCCTGGCAGTGTTCAAGGCCAGGTGGGATGGGGCTTTCAGCAACCTGGTCTGGTGGAAGGTGTCCCTGCCCGTGGCAGGGGGTTGGAACTGGATGAGCTTTAAGGTCCCTTCCAACCCAAATCATTCTATAATTCTATTAAATAATCTAGGTAGCCAACAGTGGTTGTTTTAACGTTCTGGATACACTGGAGCTTGGTAAGCTGTAAACAGAGGGAAACAAGTATCTTTTCATTAGTTTACTGCACAATAGGACATTCAAAGCAGCTGGGGTACAGAGGTTTCCCCTACTGCAGGGCTTTCTGCAGAATAAAGAGCATTATTCCAGTAAACCCCACAGGAGATATATCCCAGCATTTCTCCTGAGACCAAATATTATATTTTTTTTCAGAGGCTAAAATGAATACTGATGTATTCCCCAGCCTGCAAAACACAGATAAATCTCTCAGATTTATATGATGCAAAAACAATGTATTCAGACCGTGTCAGTAGTCATTGCTATTGTCTTTTAGCCTTTCCACTTATCTATCTAGGGAGAAGCAGTAAGACATTTACTTTCTCAGCACACTGCTTGCGTCTCCCTTTCCCCCGTCCATCCCTGCACACATCCGTAGGAGGACCAAAGGGATGGAACGAAGCCATGAGAAGCCCAGCAGGAACACGCAGTACGTCCTCCATGAGGATTTTGGAAGAGTTCTAAGGAACAAACCTCTTATCCAAATTGCCCAGGGAGCTTTTAAACCTTTCATGCAAATAACAGATAACCCCAAAACTCAATTTTGGGGTAAATATCGCACAGGCAAGCCCACTCTCGTACCCAGCCTCCCAGGACAGGCTTAGCAGCAGGCATCCACAGGTACATTGAGCACGGATATTTTAACACAGTCATCTTGGAATGGGAGGGGAAAACCAAAGCCAGACAGAAAAAACTAATCAGCCCTGGAAAACAAACCCCTCCCAAGGATTTTTTTCAAGCTGTAGAGAGAGGCTTTAGCTCAGCCCTCACTTATATACAGCCATTTTGGGGAGGAACAACACTGAAATCCTGAGATTTTAAAAACCCAAGATGATGCCACATTGAAATTAATGGGGACACAGAGCCCTTGCACTTGGCCAGGCCCTCCAGATACTACAGAAACCACCAAACAGGCTCTACTGAGAGCAAAGGGTTTTGTGGTAGACCCAAAGGACCTAGTTTTATGGCCTCTTATATGCGTGAAGATACACAAGAGCATTAAGCGGGATTTTCAAAAAAGCCCAAGGAGCCAGACGGGAACTGAAACTTTTTTCTTACCCCTCAGATTGCTGAGCACCATTCAAGTAAACACCTTCCGAGTCCAGCCCTATCTGTTTTAACGTGAAATGACAATTTGCATTTGCTCTGAGGCCAAACACGCCATATCCCACCAAATCCAGCCATCACACATTTAATTTTCAACAATCTCTGTTACAGATGGGCCCACCTGGTCACGGGACACTGGGCTAACTGGCTCTTGGGTCTGACTCTGGGTAGCAATGGAGCCTTAGAGCACAGAAACCTTGAACACCGGTAATATCCAGCTTTAGACTACTAGATTTAGCCATTTCAACATAACGTTCCAAAATAAGCAAATAAAATAAAATAAAATAGAAGTATCCATAGGTGTCTCTGTTGACTGTCGTTGTGAGCTCTGCAGGACGCTTTCTGTGCTGAGCTTTTACCTGCAATGTGAGCTTGGCAAGCACTTACATTTTTGCAGAAAGTAAGAGAGAAGCCACTTTTCTATCTGCAGCCTAAACTCCAGCCTGTCGCTATAAGCCAGTCCAGCCATGCCAGCAACTCAACATACAGGTACAAACGTTACTGGTGCCACCTCCCTCGGCAGATGCGCAAAGATTCATCAATCCCATCATTTGTCTAAACACCAGAACTGTCAGTAAGAACAAGACCACCCAGTCCAGAGTGGTCAGCCCAGTGCCGGCTCAGGGAGCGAGTCTGGCTTATGAGAACAGTCCTTTTCATAGCGGTAGCAATATATTTGATTTTAAGAGGGAAGTACAAGCACAAATATCAGGCACACGAGTCCCAGCCTTGGCAGCATCCTGCTTCGACTTTCTCTTTCCTCCCCAGAGCAGAGGGACTCTGTTCTCGATTTCTGCCTGTAAATACACTTACACGCATTTTGTCAGTATATTTGAGTAGGTTTATTCCCCATCTTGATTAGGTGAGGCTGCACCACAGCCTCCCTGCTGCCGTTTGCAAGCACTAGTGTTCGGCGCCTAACTCAACCCAACACGAACTCCTTCCTCACCTCCCCAAAATCACCCTCCAACATCTGCATTACGCTCACATGTGCAATAATCTCTTCTCTGTCCACACTGGTGGCAGGTGTTTATTAGAGACAGAAAGAGAAGCAGCGCACACACAAACATATTCAGTAGCTAATCCCTAATTGCCTTCATCTCACTTCCACTGCAGACAGTCCCTCCAAAGCCTCCCCAAGCGTTATTCTCTTTTAATCTATCATTCCCAATGATAATATTTTTGTGTTCACTGACACACACGATCCCCACTCCACCGCCCATAGACATGCACGTTTACAAGGGAGGCAGCGCTGGATATATTCCAAGTTATTTATCCTCCCGTTGATGCGATGACTTGCTGTGACACATCTTTCAAAATCAGCTAAACAAAGCCACCGCTGAAATTTGAGGAAGAACATAGATTAAATTAAGAAATAAAAAATAATCTAGGCCAGATGGTACTAAAAAGTTTCGTACCCAATCCGCAACCCCGAGTGTCTGGAGACATAAAGAAAGCTATTTTCAAAGCCAGGCACCAGTTGTTAGACCTACTTGTGCATGGCTCTGCCAGGCTTGTTTCTCTCCCTTTCCTCCCAAATTGTTTCTGAGCCTTTTTCTTACTCTTGTGCAAAAAGACATAAATAAATCTAAAAGTAAAGCGAAATCTGGACAAATGCACATGAGGAGAAAAAAAAAAAAAAGCACGTGTTTTTATCAGTAGATTAAAACATAGGGCAAATGTTACCTTGGGAGCTGGCACCTGCCCCTGAGAGTCCAGACGGAGCCCGTCCCCCGAGCATCTCCTGCAGCGCAAACAGGGGTCACAGCAGGAGGTGGGTTCCTGCGTTATTTGGCAGCACTGACCACAGGGGCTTCGGAGCCTGAGCATCTCCTCCGGCATCGCTCGAGTCACCAGCCCCGAAGTCATCCACAGCCCCGGCTGAGGACTGAAAACTCATGCCCGTGTGCCGCTGAATCACCTCTTAAAGCCTTTTCTGAGTACGTGGGTGGGCACTTAGACAAGGTTGAGACCTTATGCCGAGCTCCTCCTTAGCCACGCAGGGCATAAATCTATCGGAGAAGTTTTAGGGGCTCTCAGAGCCCGAGGGTGACATTTCTAAAGGCACCCAAGACGGCTGGGAGCCGCTTCAGAAAATGACACCAACTTCAAAAAGTGACTTAACAGCCTCTAGGGGGAAAAAAGAAAAATGACTCCAAGGCATCTCTGCCCGATGTTAGCCTCTGAGGGCCTGGCTACGTTTCCAGCAACCGCATCTAAACCTACCAGCAGACTCTCGGGCGCCAGTTCCGAATCCGGCCCCTGCATGAGGCCCATACCCCAGCATCCCAGCACACCGCCGCTGCGGGGTTTCCAGCAGGCGCCCATAACCCATGGCCAACCGCACCTCCGTTACCGCGACGGAGCCCACCTCGGAAATACCGCACACCTCGTGGTGAGCCCTCCCGTCTCATCCCCAACACGGGAGACCTCGTGCTGCTGCTGCCATCACCAGCACCGCTGCGGGGACCGTGGGACAGCCACATCCCCTTTGCGCCCCGTGGGGACCTATCCTGATGCACTGCAGTAAATCTCAACTTCACGCAGCCCCATGAGAGCCATTTCTACAAAACTCCGCTGATTTCTGAATGTTATGGCCAAAACAGTTTTCCCTTATCATACAGTTACTTTAAACCCTTTATTTTCAAAGGCAGCCTAGATATCGCCTGCATGCCACCACACTCCCAGGCAGGTAGCTCAGCAAGAAAGGAGGAACTTTCCATCCTGCCCAACACCGTGCTGGGCCTTTTCTTGCGACACCAGGTCTTACCACCACACACTGGTGCTCTAATACCAACAAAAGAGGAGCACAGCTTCAAGAGAATCATGGAGTCTGCCCCTGACACTAGAAGAGGGCATCGGGGATAGGAAAGCCCAGTAAAAGCAAAACCCTTCATGAGGTACCTGGAGATCTTTACCTCTTGTTTTCCCATGGTCAAAGTTAGGAAAACCACCGCCATAAAGAGCTCCAATGGCAAAATTAAACGTTTCCAGAACCGTTACCGTACCTCGGTTTGCAGCGACAAAGCTGCATGGAGCCTTGTTTTGTGCAGTGACCAAACCCAACCAGATTTTAGAACAAATCAACGTGCTGTGTCACTACTTACCCTCGGGCCGATGTCCCCTGCTTCACCCTGCGCATCAGGCAAAACAGCAAGGGTCAGCTATTAGAGTTCAAATTTCAACCACGAAGGACCGAGCGCGGGGTCAGCTGGACGCGGGAACAGCACACAAGGGAAGTGGGAAGAGTCCTATTGCTTAACGTATTCAAAACCAGGGAGGAGAAGGGCTCGAGACAACACAATAGGGAATGACTCTGCCCTGGCAGGCGATGAAACAGGTAATAAATCAGAAATAGCAGATTGTTTCCAACTCTAGGGCTCTCCAGTAACTGCTTATGTCCTACACATGCGAGGATTAACATCAGTTTCCGTACAGTAATGACCTTCTTTGGCTGCTCTAATTTTGTAGGAGAATGTCATGCAAACACAGAGCGATGGAGCCCGCAGCCTTGCTCTTGGAGGAAAACAAGAAGGTTGTATCCCACTCTCCTAACCCTCAATGGGTTACCAGGAACCCTATAGCATGGATGAGCTTTAAGGCCACGCTTACTCCTCCTACATTTTTGCAAATTCTTTCTGCCCTCCCCTTCCTGGGGCTTTTCCAAGGGCAACCTGACAAGCTGCTGTCATGGCTCAAGCTGGCGTATTGGGGTAATCTGAACTGAAAGAATTACAGCAGAAGGAGGATATACAGCTGCTTCCCCAAAAGCCACGTGTTAATGCAGTCTTTACCTTTTCCCCTTTTGGTCCTGGAGGTCCCTGGAAATACGCAAGAAGGATCCGAGTTAAGAAACAGCAGAATCATCAATGCACACAACATCAAAACCAAGGAGACTACGTTCATCAATTCACAAACCTGAGCCACGTTCGCTATTATTTTAAGTTATACATGCTATTATTTCAATTTATACACTGCTTCACATGAGCTGCACGCTACTAGAAAGCCCCAGTGAGGTCCTGCCTTCTCTTGCCAGGACGGAGGACGGGAGAAGGACCGGGGCCCGGCAGGGACCGCGACAGCCGCTCGCAAACACGTGACTCGAAATAGATGCAAGAGATTTCTTGAAGTATTAAATCACTTCTAGAAAAACACATGCTCAGCATATCATTACAACAATTATACATCTGTTTGAAATAAACAAGGAGGATGGGCTGCTTTCTTTGGCCTGTTTGCTGAAGACATAAGTCATCTTCCCCTCTAAGCAGCTCTCCCCGTAAGACGGGCAGGCAGAGACACGCTGCAGCCCCAAAGAGAAGCCACAGAGCCACGCTTTGATGTGCCTGCTCTGCATCCTCCATCCAGCACAGAAAAATGCCGAATCTCAGGGTTCAGCCCAATTCACAGTGTTTGCCGAAGCGGGACCCGGTGGGATGCAGTAGCTGACAGCAGCAGCATCTGCATCCCCACGCAGCATCCCTCCTGCTGTTAATTTGGCTCTAAGCAACGCTGCTGGCCCCTTGCTGTCGTGGAAGAGATCACAAACAGTCTGGTTGGAGTTTGGCCATTTGATAAGTTTGCTTTTTCGTCCAGATTTTCCCTGCCTCCCACTCAGAGGTCTCGCTCCTGCCTGGTGCACTGGCACGACTTGCAGCCATTCGCATCCACGCTGCTCTTCCATCAGGGGGTTCTGCTAATTCAAAGCCAAGCCCTGAGCACAGCGGTGTGAGCTGGCCTGCCTTTTTTCTTTTCTAATGCTTTATTTCTAGTTTTCTTTTCATTCACATTTGTCATCTTCAGGGGTAGGATAAAAACCAACCGCAGCAATGTACAGCTATAACAAAATGCTCCCCAACTGGCTAAAAATAAGCGTCTGGAGTAACTTTTCAACTGCAAAGACTGAAAGATTTCTGCCCACTTTGAAAATCACAGATGGTTTAGGACCAAAGCTTGGAAAGATTTCAAATGCTGCCTTCTAGTGAACGTGGTGGAATAGAGTGGGATTTGGCCACAAAATACTGAGCTGCAACCTCCTGCAGCAACCATCCAGTCAAAGGACTCAGAGCTGGCTAGTGTTCAGCTAGCATAAAAAAATAAAAAAGTCTGTGTTTCTGTAAAATAAGTAAGAAAAGGCTGGAGCACCTGACTATCCAAAAGGCTTCTGAGTAAAAATGAAGTCAAGAAAACGGCTGATAAAATGAAGTCCAGGCTGTTCCACCAAATATTGCATAGACACCGGGCACTCTCAAGCACTTCCCACCTGAGCTCCTTTGGAGGCAAATGAACCCAGTTTGGGAACAATTATTTTTATGATACCCATTTGTAGTACCAGGAGCACACAACCAAGATTACTGACTTTGTTTCTTCCAAGTTGCTACTGAAGTTTGTTTCCCAAATTTGGCCTGCTGCCCATCTGCAACGTCTCCGCTAGCTGAGCTGGCACATGAAGGGGAGAAGCAGCCGAGATGAGCTGACAGGTGGAGAAAGCTCACCTCGGGCTGTGCTGGCCAGCCCTGGCTCACAATTTAAACTTCCATGTGTTACAGACCACAGAATATTTTTTTCTAAATACAATTTTGTCTCCTGAACAGTTATATATGTAGTAATAAATGAGTAATAGTTGAGATGCTGCCCATCTATTACAGAGCAGCGTGAATAAAGACGTGTTATGTTTGGTACTCGGTGCTACTTACTGGTTTGCCATCCAAACCAAGAGGCCCCTGAAAAGGGAAGGAAAAGACAGTATTATTAAAAAAGAAATAATAAAATAATCAATTTACAAACATAGCAATATCAGTCATGCTCTGAAAGAGGCTCTACTTACATACAGTACAATCTTTGGCTATGTTACTTATATACCTAATCCTTCATCCATGCAATCCAGCAGGAAGGTTTCACAGAAGTACAGTAAGAGGCGTCAAACGATTTGCAGAGTATGAAGGAGCGTGAAAGGAAGCGACAGGATTAGCGACAGGGATAAGGTGACACTGCTCTGGCACAGCGCTTGGGACTCCCTGAGGTTTTTAAAGACTAAAAAAGCAGCAGTAAAACATGCCTGATTTGGTTAAACTGAACAGATCCCAGGAGTCATTGACATCAACCTCGGATCTGAACCATTTGTTTTGGCAAAAGGACTTGCTGAAACTCTACCATTTTACCCACGATGTGGGAATCAGCCATCGCCCTCAGCCCATAATGGTAAATCTCACTGATGGGAAGGAGTGTCTTTGCTGCAGAGGAAGGAAGGGTGCATCTGCCCTGTGGGCTGATACCCAAGTGATTTATTCATCTGCAGCGATACAAAGCTGGAAACACGCTTGTATCTGCAGGACCGAACACTTGGTCACCCCAGTTCTTCCCCAGGTCTCCCCTTTCTAGGGTTGCTGCAGGAGCGCATGGTAAATTGACATGATAAATGGTTATTTCCCCATTGTTTCTGGGATGCAGCCCTTAAATAACAAGAAGCTGCTGAACATATTGGGCCCTAGGAAACCTTGCTTTTGAGAAAGGATGCGCGTGGGGAGAGGAGGCACAGATGCTCCAAGGCCCATGGACAAAGCCAAAGCTGCCCCCGCTGTCAGCTGGAGCTGGCACACAGGCACTTGGGGATGAAGAGAAGCCATTCAAAACCCAACAGTTTCAGTAAATCCCAAAACAGCATTTCCACCAATCCATGACCTACCGCCCCAGAAATTAAAACCTTTCCTCATTTAAACCCAAAGAAGGCTCAGCCCTACAAACCATTCCTGAAGAGACACGGCACGACGGTCGCGAGTCAGCAAAGCCCTCGGACACCTGATTCATTCCCAGATTTCCGACACGCGCTCACATGCTTTGCTGGGCAAGGATCTGCTCCGGAGCGAGCCGTGGGCTGTGCCGAACGGCGGGCATTGCGTCCCTGCGGCAACCTGGCCTTGCTCTTGTCGCTTACTGCTGCAAATTCAAGGGCTACTTGCAGAACGGTGCCTTGGGATCAGCACCCGCTCCCTCCTACATCTGCCCAACACGGCCACACGCGCATCCTCCTGGCTCCTTCTACAGACATGCTGGGCTGAAACATCTTCTTGCATTGCAGCCCTGTAAACCGGGAGGACCCACCGAAGCAAACGTAGTTTGGACTACGGTATAGCGCAATGATAAAGCATCAGAGTTTTCTGTATTTCTTAGGGACCTGGTTATGGTGAACCTTTTTTAGTTCAGCTTAAATCTAGGATGGTGAAATTGAGCAAAAAAGAGAAAGGTGTGTAAGAGAAACCTAAGGGCTGCATTGAAAATAGCATCCTTCCAGCTCACAGCTCCGGCCATCGATAAGGAATAAATCGGTCTGGAGTGGCTATGGTGATGGGGCTTAGAATATGAAAGAACACAGCTCTGTTAGGAAAAAGAGGTAAATCCAGGCGGCTGAATCTTGGGCAGGGCATCGGTACCTGCATTATAAAGACTAAGGGAGCTGTACAAGAGATGTTCAACCAAAAATAAATGAGGTTGTCTTTACACACGAGATTTCTGAAGTGACCAAACATAGGTTATATTGTTCACATGATGTGTATTGTTTCTCATAAGGAACTACCAGTACACAACTGCTACATAGCAGTAACGAAAAATATAAACGAATGCAGTTGCGTCCATTAATGCAAAGGCTTACAAGGTCACAACCAAACTACTACTTCCTTCCCCTAACACTCCCTCCATACTTTATCTCACCTCAATTCCTTGCGTTATAACACCTGGGAAAGGCATGGGGTGCATGGAGCTTCTTTCCTGAAACTATGATTGATTGAGGCGATTCACCTGAAGCTCTTGATGCAACTCACTGACCTCTAGAGGACAAAATGCAGGACCCAAGCAGAGAACTTGCAGCACATTCAACTTCTCAAAGGAGTAGAAGTCCCAAAATTTTTTTTTTTTTTTTAAATTTACAATACCAATTCAGCAGCTTTTAGCTATTCTTGTATCAATCCACAAAGGGACATCCAGAAGGAAAAACAATAGCCTATTCAAAGGATGTTTGTTTGAGGGAAAACATTTAATGCATGAGAGAAACAATATCTGCCGGGCTTTCAAAGGGGCTCTCAGCCAGCTGTGCCACTGAGTGGACAAGACTAACTCAGACTTTTAAATGTTTTGTTAGTCTGAAGTGGAAATTTAATTGACTCCGCTTTACCTGCCCAGCCAAACGTCTGCGTGAGCAAAGGCCAGGTTTCCGAGAGCAGCCAGAGGACTGCACGTGTGAAGTAGGAGAGAGCATCTGAAATCTGGGCTTGCTTACTTGATTGCCTGCAACTTTGAGGAGCACCCATGTGTTGAGATCGTTATTGTCTTATTTGAATTCTGCTCCATGTCATTTAATTAAAGATGAAGCAATCTTTAGTTTATTTGATAACCAAGGAACAGGAAAACAAGAAGTAACCACTTATTCCTCCAGTCAAAAACCATCTCTATAGAAGTTTTCATTTTGGGGAGACAAAAATCACTTCCACTTAAACGACCAGCACAAAGTATAAGAAAAAGGTGAGTTTTCTGGGCACCCCATTACAGGGCCTAATTAAGAGAAAGCAACAGTAGCTTCATGCTGTGCTTTTTGCCCAGGGAAAAATTTCACTTATGCCTTTGCCCACTCTCAGTTACAAGCCTTTTGCTCCAAATCACACACACAGTGATCGCACTTTACATAATTACATATTCAGTACATCAAGACGGGACGAATTTTCTGCCTAGGACAAACCTGATGCTTTAAGACAAGGTAGAGAGAAAACTTGACCAAATTCCCCTGAAACATGGCTCTGGCCAAAACCATCGCTGCACCGGCCAAGCAGGACAAAACCCATCGATCCTGGGTGCTTCAAGGAAGACGACACTGATGTTGTCCCAGCCAACATCATTCCGTGGATGTCAGAGCTCACTCCTAGCTGATAATCAACTCAGAACTCATTTTCTGACCACACACCAGTAAGGATCAGCTGCATTCGGTGCCGGGCCAATGCAGCTCTGCGAGGCATCTTTCATGTTTGAAGAGAAAAGAGGAAATGTTGCAGTCAGTTTGATAAAGAAAATATATATCCGCAACATCTGGCTGGAGCCCTCAGGTTGCCAGGCTGGGAGGAGCTGGGTTAGAGGGGAGAGCTAGTGACACGGAGCAGGGGTGAGCGATAATTGCAATTCTTGCCTTGCTTTCACCCCTCACAAACAGTAACGTAAGCACATGGTGTTCCTGCGGGCGTAACGACCCAAACCTTGGTGCATCCCCCACTGCCATCACCCGGGTGAGGACATTATTCATATAATAATATATATTTTGTGGTATACATTAATGATATATTATTTAATGATATATATTTGATACAATGACGCTGAGAATGCAGACACATGTCAGATTAGATGTTGGGGCTTGAGCAGAGCTCGTTACTGTGTCATGCGCTCTTGCTGCATGCCTTGGTTTGTCCATGCAACATTTCAATTTCAGAGGAAGGGGCTACATCAGATATGTTTTAAAACAAATTCCAATTTTTTTGTTTTGTTTCACAGTAGAAGCTCAGAAGTCTTGAGATACAGCACCAAATATCACCTCTCATTGCAAAAATGAGGTTCACCCAATGCCGAGATCAGCTGAAGGCTTGGGAACAGTTTTGAGTTCACCAAAAAGGGAAGACATGGAGCTTATGAGCTCTGATTCATGTGCAAAAGCTCTTCCAATAAATAACAAGCATTTTCCCCATACATTCCTTACCCCTGCTCAGAGCAAGCCTAGGTGCCAGCCTGGCTAACTGGCCTTCTGCCTTCCTCCTCCAGTGCCATTACTGCTGCTGGCAGGGATGTACTTGCTCTAGCAGCGTTACAGGAATTTTAAGGGGGGAAAATATCTAGTGAAAACAAAGCCAGATATTATTAAGAGGACAATCCTTTGGAGTTGGGAAATCTTCTCTCATAGTTATTTTTAATGTTTCCTGCTCTGCTAAAAATTAGCACAGGGGTCAGAAGGAACCCTGCAGTCAAATTTTAACAAATTCAAAGGGCTGCCTTCAATCTCTGTCTCTGTGGTTTCAAAAAATGGTAAAATCTTACATTTGAGAAGGAGGAAAGTGTCAGAACAAAAGAGTACGACAATATTTTAGTATCCCTGCAAAGGGCCCTGGGTCATTAGGCAGCATGGTTTGCAGTGCATCCAGGGAGCAGGAACCATCCTTTCCTATAGGCTACGCTGTAAATCTTTGCAAGCGGGACAGTGTCTGCTGGCGATGTGGTTCCTCAGCACATTTTTGTATGAGAAGAAAGCTCTGGCGAAAGCTGTGGCCAAGCATGCCCTGCCAGACCCGTCACAAGGAAAGTGGAGAATGGCAGCCAGGTTGCTGTGGCTCCCCCGAACTTCCCAGCTGAAGGAAAAGGAGAGAAGAGGGACTGAGAAATGAAATGTGAGTCCCCTAAATAGCAGCTGAGAACCACTGGCGCTAACTGCAAATGAATCGAGTACAAGAGACATGCTCTGGGATGTCACCTCTTCCTCATCCCCAATTACTGCTACCCCCTCCTCCCTCCCTAAAAGTCCTCAGTGCAGAAGCCCTTATAAAAAAAGAGGTTTCTACTCCATCCAATACCACCTCTGTTACAGTAATAATTTACCCTTCCAAATAACAGCATTTAAATATCTGTGAAGAGGTAGACTTCACGTATGAATTTGGTGATACAAGGAATTATCCTGCCCGCACACCGACTGCAATGGCTC